TACACAAAACATCACAGAAACCCTGTTAAGCAGAGTCAATAGCAATAATTTAGGAGATTAATGGAGATTAATAATTGCCACCAGTTGAGCTGTGCTTTGAAGCAATTTCTTCCACTACCTGCCTTCATTTTTTTCTTACCTAAAAACAATGAAGAACACTGGGAAGGGGCAAAGCTTGGATTTATGCCTCACTTCTGTGACCCTCCCAGAGAGGAAGTAATGTACAATTCAAAACCATCTTTTTGCTTTCAGTTTTTATCTCCGCTTCATCTCCACATGACGAGCAGCGTGTGACTCGGCTCAGCCCAGGCTGAACACTCCTGACTGCCAGATGCAATCTGCTGTGAGGCTTTATTCCACCCTTAGCAACCTTTATCAGCACTATTCCTGAATTAACTTTCACTTAAGGGTTAAATTCTTCATCCCATCAGGCACAGCTGGGTTAGCAGGCTCCTGAGAGAACGGCTTCACTCTCAAACAAGGAGTGGTTTCCACGGGCCAATTCATGAAGTCAAAGAAAATGTAAGTATGATTTCTGTGTCTTCTCCATATCCAGATACACATTCCTACTTCTCAGCAGTGTGCTTTCTGCAGTATCTCCTGCTATAATAAATGGTCATTCCCTAGACAGTAATTTTCACATCTCCAGTAAATATGGACCAGTATTACTGACCTGAGATGCACTGATGTTAGTGACACTGATACCAAGAACTTGGTGGCATCAGTCAACCATTTTCAGTTCTTTCATGCTTCCAAGCAGATTGAGCAAATTAACTCAGAAGAGTTAATTCTTCAGATAAGAATAAAGCAATAAAAGATACAACATTTTGCACTTAAAACAGCAGGACTTTGAATGTCATCTCCTACTGTCAATGTCCAACAGAACAAGTAATGAGGAACTTTGTGGTTTTGGTACCGAAGCTGGAAAACTGTTTGACACAAAGAACTTTAGTGCCTAGTCTAGGTGGTACCAACTTATAACACCACAATCTATATTGATAAGAAATGCTACTGGGAAGTTGGTTGACTCTGTGCTTTTTTAAACTTTGGATAATCTTTAGACTACAGCTTGAATTTGTTGCTCTGGCCTTTATGAATAATTAAAGAGATGGAGCATGTAAGTAGGAGTTGCAAGGCTTGGCCTCTGATTATTGAGATGACCATATCTCACATGTATCTATTAAGCATAACCATCTCCTGAAGGCAAACATACTCAGATGAAAAGAACATGGAACAAGGGTGTATAAACATCAAGATAATACTGAGTTAAAAACAGGAATTCACCACTGTCCTTGATTTTATCTTAAAAATAGACCCATCAAAATTTCCCAATGAAACTCCTGGCTCTTGAAAAAAAATACTACTTAATGATTTGATTGAAATTCCAACTGGAAAATACACTAGCAGTATTAAAATATTTCTAAAAGATAGTTAGAGTTTAAAACTTTTTAATCCTTATTCAGTACCAAACTACATTTTAAATTCCATCTAGGGAATAGCAACATCATGTTTTAGCTTGTTCTAGTCAAACCAGTGCTAAACAAATCGAATAGGAACTTGCAATTTCCTACCTGGGTAAAGGTGTTGGTTGTTCAGTAGAGACATATTCTTGATTACATTTTTTTTCCTCAGAAATGAAGGCTGTAATTAAAAAAAAAACCCAACAAACAACAAACAAACACTGAGGCAAATCTATAAGTGGATTACTGTAGAGTGTGGAGAAAATGACCTTCCAAAGTTAAAGGAGAACCTGAAATAGCCAATAATTGAAATGTCATAGAAAGAACCAAGCTGGAAAGAAAAAGCAAATATTTAAAGACAAGAAATATTTAACAAGTCACTGGATTAATTTCTCTGCTAAGATCATCAGAAGCAAATATATTTCTATTTGATGTCAGTGACATCACATAGAATTTGACAAGCCTTGTGGGTATAAAACAATCTTGGGGGCCTCTTTAGCCCAGAGTAGTTTTAATGCAGGAATCCTGTCAGTGAACATACATTTTTCAGTGAGGTAGATCCACCTTGTTGTTGAAGGCAAAACAACTGCATTTAATAAAAGAAAATTGTAATTGCTGTACAAATAACTGCTCATTCTTCCATCTTTGCTGCTTGGTCATGAAGGAGCTGCTCTTCCTAGAGAACCCAGCTCTTCTGTTTCAATCTAAGTTTGAGATACTCCTGTCACTTGACATGCACAGAATTTATGACCGTTCAGGGAGCTGTTCTGAGTTTTGCTCTTCTTCTTCTCTTCTTCTTCACTGGTTCCTCACCACCTCTCCTTCATGGATGTATCATTGTGATTAAGCCAACAATCACAAATTAAAACCAAATTGAGACTTCAAGGTGATTCCTTCCTTGTTTTCTACATCTCCAGCCTCAGGGCACAGGCTTATCAAGGATGTAGAATTTCACGTATACACTTTCATATACTGCCAGTCTACTGATTCCAACTGCAACATTGCTCAAACTGTCAACAGCCTCATACTCAAAAGGTTGGGTCTTAGAGGGACATAATTACACCTTTATGCAAACTACTTTTAAGAAGAAACATAAACACAATAATCCAGTAAGTTATCATGGCAGAGTATAGACGCTAGTAATAATAGTAATGACCATGTCTGTTCCATGATGTTAAATGAAACAGATGATTTGTATATATTTATGACAGCTCATGATTTAATTTACACACAACTGAGCAGATTAAATCTAAAATTTAAACGTAGATCTCCTGTATGTACATCCTGTATTTGGACAGTTCCTGTATTCGGACAGTTCCTGTATTATTGTTATAGTGATATTAAGGGAATGCATAAAGCCCAACCTAAGCTCGTTCACTGAGCACACAACACATGGCATTTTAGTGACTGGAAGGGGAAAAAAATGAAACAATTTTCATACTTCAGTACTGCAGCAAATGACTGCATTGACAAGGTCATCATGCTAAGTTGACATCATCCGCACCACATTCAACTTCTAAAAATCCTCCAGTATGTGCATAGTGATGCCTGTAAAAACCTCATTGGGTGTCAGACTCTTGAGGTTTTTTCCCCTCTTGCCTTTTCAATAAGTAATTTAATTTTTTGTAATTAAGAATTCAGTATTAATTTACACTGGGGGGAAAAAAAAGGTTGAGTGCTCTGTTTTGTTCGTGGTAACATGGCTAGCTGTATAAAACACCATTCCTTCCTTTACTACATTCATAATTGTACTTCCAAAGGTAACTCTCATAAAATCAGATCACTAACAATATCTTTTGTAATCAGAACTTAATTAGGTTGTTGTTTACAGTAGAAGTGATCAATAGCTTTTATTCTGGATCACACAGTGTCAAAGCTCTAATAATTGGTATTAAATGTAATAGAGATGCTGGAATCAAACCAAATGTAAAAAAATCTTCAAAACGGATGCACTGTACCGGGAGGTTATTAACATTCCCAATTCTGTTTAAAATGTTCAATCTGCTGAATACAAATGATATTTTAAAGAAAGCTTTGTGGATCAAAGCTGGATTTAATAATTGTAATGTTTATGAATTTGTTTTGAAAATATTTTTAATTGGATAATGTCAGACTTCTGAATTATAACGTTATGTTCATTAGCATTTCAGTAGGTTACACTATCAACTCCTTTTGATATTAAAAATTTGATTTATTTTTTTTAAGTCTTGAATCTCCTCAGCTTTTTTTCTGTTGTCACTAGTTTTCAATAATTTGATTAACTTCTACAAGGAGAGCAACAGGAACCACATGGGCTTTGCTGGTAATGATGTGCAATATATTTCTTCTCCAAAAGAAGCTCTGATGCCTTTGAAAGTAATTTGCTGTTTCTTATCAGCACAGCATTAAAGAGTAATATTGTCTAATTTGTGGCACAGAGCATCCTAGAATTCTATCTCATACAGAGTACTTTGAAACTTGTATTATGTGACCATAATCAAGAGTATCTAAGTGAATGTCAGAATTTATGAAAGTGTTTATTATGAGCTAAGGAAAAGCTCAAAAAAGATGAACTTGTCAATAGGTATGATAATCTCCTAGTAAAATGTGCATTTTACACACTCCTGAAGTTCACTGCATTTTATAAAACAGTAATTTGTACTTTATAGTCCTATTGCAAGTAAGTCATCTGGACATTTCAGAGCAGGCTGGGGCATCATTGTGCAAGTCTCAGTGTAAATCTGTAAATTTGGCATGATGAACGCCTTGCTTGGTGAAGTCATCTTCTACTTTCAGTAGAAAGGAAAACTGATTACTGTTGATCATTTAGACATCACTGCCTTTAACAGTCAACCAGCCATCACAGTAAGGTATGAGGACAGCCCTCAGGAGAAACACTGCCTCTTTGATGACATTTAAAGCTTTAAAAAATTCCTTCTAGATACCACAGAAAATCATCATGTGCCAGGACAGGCTGTCGGTACCACTGAATCACGTAGACTGGCAATATTGCCATCCACACCATTAAAGCAATTTATGGAACTGGTCTTGTAAGCAGTTCATCATGTCAGCAATGCCAAGGCCTGCGATCGGAAGTACCAGGGTGAGAAAAGCCTGTCACAGGAGTGTGTGTGCATGATGCTGCCTTGTATGGGATCAACCATCCTTTTGTGTCCATTTTAGCAGCCTAAGAAATCAAACACAGTTGAAATGGTATCCTACTACCTCTTTTCCCTCTACAGTGTTGTGAAAAGTCATGAGGCTCCTGGAACTTCTGGAGCTGACATGAGCTATGTATAAACAGATACTGGTGTTGTAATAGAGCAAACAAATTGTATGTAATTTTTTTATTAAACAAACAGTATAATAACTGGACTATATATCACAATGGAAGCACAGAAGACCATAGACTGTACAGCTGAAACCCTGCAGCAAACTTTGTTTCTACTTCTTCTCATCAAATTTAAAGAAATGTATCTTTATCAAGCTTTCCCAATGGCTTCTTCTTGTTAATGTAAAGAATCATCACCCTTGTTAAGGCTAGATTATTATAACTAAAAGATAAATGCACTGTTAGAAAGTTCTGTGCCACACTCTATTTTCATGAAAATTCAGCTGAAAGATGTACATTTTACCTGTATGTGCATTATAATGGCTTCTCAGCAGGGAATGCAGAACCACTTACAGTACAGAAACATTTGAAGAGGAAAAAGCTCATACACTGAAAGAGTTAAACATCAGTAGCAATTTATCAAATGAAGAAGTCTCATAAAGTCCACTCTCTGGGAGAACACTCACCATTAGACAAAAACCTGGCATCCTTGATAGTCTGACGTTCAATCAATTTGAAAACCAAAACCATTCAATGAGATAAATAGGATCTTAAGAAAAATGCCATCCTCCTTCTCAGGTAAAAGCCAGAATTAAAATAATCATTATTAAAATAATCCAACCAGGTCGCTTTACAGGCAAATTTACACACTGTTTCTTTAGAACACGGCATGCCCAAAAGCCTTTTGGGTTTGGAATGTAGCACTGCACCAAGTATTTCACAAAGCCTCTAAATATCACAAGAAGCTTTTTTAGAGAGAAAAAAAAAAATATTCCAGCTGACTGAAACTTCTAGCAGGAGTGCCTCAGCTTAGCTCCCAGACCTGGAATTCCAGAGAAGCAACAGAGGACAGGAAACAGATTTTTATTTTTTTTTAATATTTTTTTTTTTCCCCACACGTCCTTTTGTAATGCAGCTACAAGACAACTGATGAGCTCAGGAACAAAGAGAATGAGAGTGCAAGTGACATCAGGGTGAGCGCTGTGCTTAGATAGAAGCTTCTAGGAAGAGCGAGGGAATTCTCTGCAGATATGTGACCAGTGGAGATTTTTGATGTGTCTTTCCCAATAGCATTCTGCAAGACACAACACTTTCCTTGGTCACCATTATACATTTTCATTGCTAAATATTTATATCTTGACATTCATCTTTTGTTTTCTTGTTTCCCACCCTCCCATTTCCTCTCTCTCTCCCTCTCTCTATATATATATCACTGCCATTGATTCAAAGATACAAAAGACATAAAAAGAGATTCTCAGATGAGTTTAAGGAGTTAAAGAAGAAAAACATCAGTACAACACAATTAAAAAAGAAAAAAAAAATAATAAAGCATTAATAAATCATTACATTACATAGCAGTGGTTCCATGTGTAAACCTATCCTACCCTGAGTCAACAGAGTAATTTTGATAAAAAGTGGCTTCTGGATAACAATAGATAAAAATCTAATCCATGGGATCAGAAGAGACAGAGCTTTCTACCTCATGAAAAATTCTCCTTCTCACACCTTTTCCCTTAATTACTGCATTATTTAAATTCCTTGCCTTCTTTGGTACCAAGCTGTCAACAGATCTCCTAACATTAATGCATTGTTCCCTCACATGCTAATAGGCTTCATTCTAGTATCTACAGGATATTCTTACCAGAATCTAAAGAATTAGGAATGGGCTATAAAACTGTCATTGTTTAGAAAAACTGTTCAAATCTGGACTGGTGAAGGAAAACCTGAGAGGTATGGGGTGGCTTATGCCAGTTCAGCTGGGCTTGCTTCAATGCCTAAGCTATGTGCTTCCACATTGTAAAAAATAATTTATGTACATCACTCATTATTAAGCTTCTTGAGAGACCCAGTACGAAGGGTATGGACTGACAGACATGGGCACTGATGTAATGTTTGCATCTGAAAGGGGGCCTGGAAGGTCAGGCTGAGCAGACTACTCAAACAGCACTGGAAGGTTCATGTGTCTGGGGGCTGTCACTGTGTCTCCTGATGAAGAAGCATCACATCTCCTGATGTTAACCTCATCTCTTGCCCCAAATTGGCCATTTTTGTTAGCCACAGGATGGTGTCTGGTACATTTTTATGTATTTGTTAAAAGCCGTATCATCTTGTGTGCCTGCAGATTATGAACTAATTACACTTGTGAGGTGCAATGGTAATTACCACGGGATCTGCCTAATCATGGACTACACAGCTATTGAAATAGAAAGTCAGCAGAGGCCACTTTGAGCCCAGCTCCACATTTCAATGTAAGATCATTCTTTGATACATTGTGCTATTCAATCTGTAGCAGGGCGCTCCATCTCTCAATACGCCTGCCTCTGTTCCCTTCTGTTTGATTTAAGTGCTTTTTGTCTCTTAGTTTTGCAGGCACAGGCCTGAAATGAAAGGTTCTCATGAGAAGGGAAAAGGTCTAGCAAACTCTGAGCTGGTAACAACTAGCATGGCCTAGCATGGTATTTGATAATAAGGAAGCTGCCTGCATTTTAGCGGTTAACCTTTGTTGTTTGATTTAATTATAAGTAGTAAAATTCAGTTTGCATCCTAACTGCACTTCTGTTCTTATCTCCCAATTTTCCTACATTTTTACCATACTCATGCCTCTCTTCCAGAATAATTAAAACCCCCAATGCTGTATGCAATACATTTTGATTCCTGCATCGTCTGTCATCCATCCTGTCCAGGACAAATCATAACAACATTAACAAGACTTCAATGTCAGGTAAGCCCATTATACACTTGACAGACTTCAAACATTTTATATTATGAGGAGCCACTTGTGCAGTGAAATATATAGAATCCACACTCTTACCTCGTTAATACAGAGCTCTGTCTCTGTAGATTCATTGACTTTCTGCTTCTTCTGTGTCTACAAATAAATGCAAAATTTATTCCCTGTAAAACTTATACATACAGCAGCACAAAACAATTAGATAAATTCCTATAATTTTGCAAGTGATTTGCACATGATTAGCGAATAAACTCCAAATGTAACTGCAAGTTTTCCAATAACATTTCACATTCTGATTTGAATTTACAGCAAAACTTCAGTCAGCTAAGGGTACTTAGTAATTACAATGATGAGTGTCATCAGCTGCAGAGAACATGTTATGTTCTGTGGCCCCTTAAAATGATGCTGGATGCTCATAAGAAGAATTGAAATAGGACAGTTAATAATTACCATAGTGCCAGTGCATATTAGCAAAACCCTGTAATAGTTCACAGTTTTAGGAATATATACAACACAGGAGTATTTTATCCTGAACAATTCCTGTAATTTCTCCAATTATTATTATTAAAATAAAAATGTCATTGTAAGGTATTGTATGGCTGCCACAGAGTCTCTTCTAGAAAGTTGCAAAAAGAACATTTTGTGTGATTTAACACATATACCTGTAAGTCAAATTGAGCTGTTTGTTTACACTGCATTCACTGATTATTATAGATGTAGTATTATTTAATGCAGGAATATTTTAGATATTCACAGCCTGTAACATGAAACTGCTGTTATCTTCAGCCACATCTCATGATAAGCATCCATCTGTTGATATTGCTGTGTGCTCTCCACACTGATGCAAGTAAGAAACACTTCTGGTGGCAGCATGACACGAAATGAAAGCAACAGTCTGCACTCTGTCTAGCCTCACAAGGTGTTTAGTATTTCCATTCCTCAAGTGAACGTGACTGGGCTGGCAGTTTTCTGCTTTGTTATTACAGTGATAGCAATCCCCACGGTGCTGAAGATATTTTCAGTAAATGCTGCTGTTGTTAAGTACTTCAGTGATTCTCAGTATCATTTCCTTCTTTGTACATTCCAGGAATATAAATAGCACTCTTGTAGAAGAGCTACCAGTGTAAAATGTACAATCGAGTCTTAGAGCAGAACACTTGGATTTACCCACCAAAACTACTGACTGCACTGAGCATGTCTGATACTTCCTGGAAGTTTTGTTGGACATGCAATTTATCTCTGGAAAAAAATGAGGATCTGAATGTCACTATGTTGCATTCCTTTTACACTGCAGAATCCCACAGGTTTTGGCAGAGATGGACTGGACTAGAGCTGATGTGAGGAAGTACCAAGCGTTCTGATTTTATACCCTCAAAAACTTCACTTCCACACACGACCATTTTACTTTCTGAAAGCCATTGGTGCTGCCTATGGATACAAAATAGTCTTTGACGTAATTACTGATTCTAGAATCCAAATGAACCAAACTTCTCATTAGGAAGCACATTCCCTGATTTTTAGGCTACTTGTATATTTATACAGAAATATGTTAGAGATAACTGAAAAACTGTAACAGCCAGGATTTAAGAGAAATACAGCTACAGTAAGAATGGATTCAGTATATAGGTTCATAGTTTTAAAATATATGACAAAATAATAGGTCAATTCATTAATAAACACCCTCCATGAAATCTCTTACATACCCTTTCTTCCGATTAGTACCATTAAAATGGTTATGGTAAGCATAAATTTAACTATCTAAATGGAAAAAGAAATGCTGAGAAGTAAATTTACTACAACAAGAAGCAACAACTGCCATTTTTTGCAGTGTTGGTGCTATTCACAGAGGTTAGGAAACTTCTTTTAATGGTAACTGAGTGGATTTCAACTCCTAAATGGATGGCTCCAAGGAGACGGGTAAAGAAGGAGAAGCTGAATTTCAGCCCTGAATTTCTCATCTCCTAAATACCCATACTAGGTTAAATTGGAATGTGAGGCTTCAGAGGTGGCCTCAGGTTCAGAGCTTCAGATCTTGACAGTGTAAACTGTAAGGACCATACAAGCCTCATACTTTTCTCAGTTTGTGATTCAGTGCTAAACTCCCTAGGTTCACACAATCATCTATTGCAAACATTGTCCTGTGCTGCTCATGCCTGCTCCAGGCTTGTAACACTGTGCTAACTACAAGTGTACTCTTGGCAGTTGGTCTCAACACCAAACTCAGCAATTCTGTATCTTCTGTCCTGTGTTTCTCAAATGAGAAAAGAGAAAAATAGCATCATCTTGTCTATATGCAGTGAAGTCTTCCTTTACTTCATTCAGCCTCATAAAGTACAGCAGCTAAAACATATTTACCTTTGAAAACACTATTTTAAGGGTAAAATCAACAACTAGAAAAAAAATCAGCATGTAAAGAAGCCTTTCAATAATTTTGATTAATATTCCCCAGCTTTCATTTGGAAGGCAATACTTCTCTGTATCCATATACTTAGTGTAGTCATTCTAACATCAACAACACATTTTCATGTGCATCCTCTATTATAAAGTCCTTCTTTCTTAGCATTGAAAAGTAATTTTAATAAACAGGCAGGCTTTTCTCTTATCAAAACAGAAAGGACAATATCTTCCATTTAAAAACACAGAAAAAAAAATGTAATCCCCTTTGGTGGGGGGGAAAGGCGGAGGGAGAGAAACAGCTATAATTTTGAGGATGAGACATTATATGCCAAGCTTCAAATTAGAAGAGTACATTTTTACTGTTGAGTTATAAATCTGTAAAAACGGGTTATAATGGAAATGCTGGCATAGGCTGCACTACTGTAATACACCAGTGCATCACTAAATCACAAGTAATGGGGGAAAAACCCCACCTATGTGTTGAGTGCTACAGAAAGCTGATGTCCTGTAATTACAACCTGAAGGGAAAATTCTCCCTGCCCTACTCTTGGGCAGAAGGGACTCTACATGTAGCAGAACTGCTGCCATTTGTGCTACAGTGAGTGCACACCTTATTGGAAGTAAAAAATAAGGGCCTGAAGGTGACACTGATAGCATTGGAAATACACTCAGTCTGGGTGTATTTAAATTATGAAGGTTATCTTCAGCCATCAGGTACTTACCTTACAACATGTTCCATCATCCAAAAAGTTTAAACGATAGAAAAGTTTGCCCACCATGTACAGCTGCAGGCAACTCTGACAGGGAATATCTATGTCATCAGCATAGTTGGGCAATGAGAGTGGCTTGTTGTGCAAGATGCCAAAGATTCACTGCCAACTCCCATCTTGGGTCTCCAGACAAGAAGGTACTTTCAAAGGTGCTAGAAGTACCTAATTCCATAGGAGTGAAATAGCGCAGAGAAATGGCTAAGTCTGTATTAAAATGTGTATTGTTTTGAATTTTAATAAAAAAGCTTTTCTTTGGAGGCAAAAAGATAAAGGAACAGAAGCAGGGCTGGGCCAATAAAAATAATCATTAAAAAAAATCAGTGAAAGGAAACTGTGTGCTGGAGTCCCTAACATAAGAAGGACTATGGAAAGTCCAGAGGAGGGCCACGAAGATGAGTTGAGACCTGGAGCACCTCTCCTACAAAGACAGGCTGAGAGAGTTGGGGCTGTTAAGCCTGGAGAAGAAAAGGCTCCAGGAGGACGTCACAGCAGCCCTTCCAGTACCTGAAGGGGCTAGAGAAAAGCTGTGGAGAGATTTTTTACAAGGGCTTGTAGCAAGAGGATAAGGTGTAATGGATCAAAACTGGAAGAGGGGAAATTTAGGTTAGACATCAGGAGGGAATTATTTAGTATGAGGGTGGTGAGAAACTGGAACAGGTTGCCCAGGGAAGTTGTAGAAGCTGCATCCCTGGAACTTTTCAAGACCAGGTTGGATGGGGCCCTGAGCAACCTGATCTAATCGGGAGGTGACCCTGTCCCCTGCAGGGGAGCTGGAACTAAATGATCTTTAAGGTCCCTTCCAACTCAAACCCTTCTATGATTCTGTGATCTTAAAATAACTTGCTACACATGCGGAAAGAGGTATGGGATTTTTTCTACTGGGTTAAAATATCATTTGCTTATGACTTAGCTGTGACTGCAAAACAAAGTTACCTAAGACAGGCTAACACTCACCCTGGTGTCGTCAGGAACTATAATTCAGCACTGTGGGCTAGTCTGATGAAGCTGTCCCCATACTGCCAAGAACCCTGCACTCGCTTAAGCTTTTATACACTGTAAAAATGAACATCTGCTTTTACAAAGAATCTTACCACTGTGGTAGCCCAAGCAACAGATATTTACAGATAACCATATTCATGCACCTTCTGATGAGCTCTTCAGTATCCTCTATGTTAGTCACACAAGCCTAGTTTTAGGCAAACTTTTAAAACTCGAACTAAAGTCTTGAACTTGGTCATGGGTAGTAGAGAAACCAACTGAATGTCCAGAAAATACATGACTCTCTTGATCAGAAGCAGAATATTACTTACTTCTTGCCTGGTTTTCTGAATGGAGAAAGGAATACTTCTTATAGAGATATTTCTCCTCCAGACACAAGACTCTGTGGACCTCCTCACTTCCTTCTAAACCAAATGGCTCCTACATGAGTTCAATCATATATGTCCTTACACAGACACACCATAACCTAATCTTCCCTCGTCCTCCACCTAATAACCATCAGAAGATCCTCCCACATCTAGTAACTCTCTGCTTCCTACCCTCCAAATCCCTCCACCTCCATTCTTTGCAGACACTATAGCCCTGAATTTATTCCCATTATTTGCAATTTTATTATTTGCAATTATGCATCCAGCTTCCACAAATCATAGCACTACATGGTTGATAAATGCATTAAACACTGCAGCTTCTCACCAGGAACTGGTACACACAGTATTTATGGCTTGTCAACCAGCAGTATTTTTATATATCCACTACAGCCTGTGTATCTGTGTTACTCATAGCAAGGAAAAGGTCAGACTGGGGATGGCTCCAACCAGCTTTAATTCAGGAGGAGAGGGAAGGAGAAGCATGTAAAAGGAACCAAATGCGAACAGGCACAGAGTGAGTATCCAAACTCAGGAACCAGTCCCTTTCTGTTAGCTTCACATTTTGGACCTTATGTGCTTTATGGAATGTATTCCATAAGTGAGA